GCCACAGAGAATGGGTGATTTGACACCGCCCAAAACTCTGAGATCAGTATCATATTTAACCCACACCAACCTCTTTCTATGGCCTTTGAAACAGAAAACATGACCACATTTTCTGAGAAAATCGACTCTCATTCCAGTTTTCTAGATATGCTCTCTTGACTGCCCAAATGTTGCAATGCTTTCTTGTACTTGCCTAATGAGACTAACCCGGTTTTTCTACAAATAGTTTCTAGAAATTTCTTTTTCATAAGGGTGAGGATATAAAATGTCTTCAGCACTTTTACCGAGGAAAAGCAAAGTTTAGAGTTCAAGTAAGTATGGGATCATTCAAATAATACTAATAGGAAAAAGTGGATTGTCTAAAATGAGCTGGAAGGTCTACATTTTCCCAAGTCCTTAAGAAATTATTCAGCTCTCCTGTCTGTTTGGAGATGTGTAAATGCAGCTTAAAATGAAACAGACCCTTTAGGTTGAGGATCTCAAATGAGGGTTGCTTCAAGGTCACCATTTAAAGTGCTATTCAGGAGGGAAAATAAAGATAAAGTTGCCATGGGAACCTCCATAACACCTGGCACAGCACCTCTGGCTCACAAGCTGTATTTTAAAGAAACGCAGGCAGTAGCTGATGCTTTTAGTCAATCTCTGGGGCCAATTGTGCTTTCCTGATACACAGTGAGAGAATATTTATTGACATGCATCAATTTTTTTATGAGGCAGAAATTATGAAAAAAAGTGAAGTTTCTCATAGCCCAAATACATTTTTATTATACCCTAAATGTTTCATATGGAAAAGTATATTTTCTTTTTCCCAATCATTTTTGTTTCTGGTGCAATATAGGAGAGATCTGCCCCTTAAATTTAATATTTGCAGCTTGCACAGATAGTTGGTATGGGAAACGGGTCACAAATTTAAATTCATGGAAGGTCAAGTTTGTAAGTATGATCTGTACAGACACCACACACTGTAAAGGGAACCACACTGAAGTCAGAAATCAGGGTGTGATTCTTGGCTTTCACATTAGCCAGCTGGTGTGTCTGCTCTCTGACTTTCAGCATCTTCATCAACTACATCCATTACCTGTAAAAATACCTGTATTATCAGGTGATTGTGAGAATTTCATTAGATTATTGGAAAATAAAAGCCTTTTTGTAAACTGTAGAGGGAAGAGAACAAAATGCATTTATTGAGTGCCTAGTATATGCTAGACACATACAAGTGACATAACATTTTTTGTGTGTGAAATGCAAGGCAAACAAGTCATAGATGAGGTTGTATAGGTCGACAGGAACAGATAACATAGGACCTTGAGAGAAAGGGTGGATTTCACAACTGAAAGCCATTCATTTAGAGCAGCAGAGTTACATGTTCAAAATTGGATCTTTGAAAGGTCCCTTGGAACAACGAGGAAGGTGGATAGAGACAAAGGGACAGGAGGAAGAATGGTGGGGAGGTTCTTACAACACACAGCCAAGGAGAGAAATGGTGGAGGAAAGATACCGTTGTTAATGATGCCTCTGTGAACGAGGTGGGTGATATGGTCTGGCTGATGGTTCAGTAAATAAATTACTGTCTTCTCAAATGGTGGCCATTATGGGCTAAATTGTATCCTCCAAAAAGGTAGGTTGAAGCACTAAACCTCAAAGCTTGTGAGTGTGACCATTTGGAAACTTAAGTACATACTCTTTGCATATGTACTTAAGATGAGGTTGTATTGGTGCACCCTAAGCCAATGACTGCTTTTCTTGTACAAAAAGGAACATAGAGACACAGACACACAAGGAGAATGCCATGTTATGACAGAGGCAGAGACTAGACTGATGCATCTACAAGCCAAAAAATGCCAAGGATTGACAGTAACCACCAGAAACTAGGAGAGGCAAGGGAGGCTCCCCCCACAGAGGCTCCCCCCACAGAGTCTTCAGAGAGAACATGGCCTCACTGACACCTGGATTTTAGACTTTTAGCCTCTAGAATGGAGATAGACTAAATTTATGTCGTTCTAAGCCAACAAGTCTGTGGCCCTTTGCTACGGCAGTCCTGGAAAATTAAAATGGTCACAGTCACACACAGAGAAAAAGAAGTCAGTCGACAATTCCTGGTAGTTCTGGTGACGCTCTATCTGTTAAGAAGTGCCCCCACAGAGTGGATACTGGGGTGTACCACTGAGGTCTTCCTTTCAGGACAGAGACTCTTATTATGCCCCTACCCCACCTTTGAGCGTTGACTGCTGAGAGCTCATAGGTATGTCCCTCTCAGGAATTGCCCCGAGCTGAAAAGAGCTGTTTCAGCCCATATTTGTCCTTTTCTCTATATCTATATACTTGTTCATGTGGGGTAAAAAGACCCCTTGACTCCATTCAGGACATCTCTACGGGGCCATTCTAGCTCCCGATATCCTCGTGAGCTCACCTGAAGTCTCTATTGTAATTACATCGCATCTCAACTTCCCTCTCAATCCAATCCAGCTTGGCTTATTTCCTTGCAAATTTCCTTCTAAGAGCAATATACTTCCTGCACACAAACCTTTATCTCAGAAACTTCCTCCAGGGACCTGAACTTAAGAAACCTTGCAACATTATTTCCAACCTCACTAATGGGATATTGGCTTTTAGCCATAATCTCAGATTGGCATCTGTAAGAATCTGAAATGTCTTCCTGGACAATAACCCAAAGGTATACAAATTAAAGTAAAAGTCCCTCTACAAAGGTAAATTTCCATACAATTTTCAAAAACTCTGATATGAAAATAAATCTGATTCTACCTGCATTAAGAAAGTATTAGAAAACGCATGCTACACTCTAGCCTAGGGCACAGAGTAATCCTGCAAGCCATAATATTTTCTCCCTTGGAGCCACCACCATTAGCAAATGTCATCATAATCCATTGCAGACTCATGGAGAGATTATGACTCGGGCCAACCTGAGGAGTTGAAAAAACTGGAATTTATAATGATAATGAAAACCAGCCTGGTGAGAATGAAAATAGCAAAAAGTTTACTAAAGTTCCAGGGACAAATAGAATTTGAACCACACAAGGCACTAGAGACAGAACAATATGAAGAAATGTCTTAGCTCTACTCATCTGGGCTGAGTCACCAAATCTCTTTACCAACAGGAATTTGATTTTGGGGCAAGGGTTAAAGGATAAAGAGGCAAGCTGAAGGCAGAACTTGACCTTTTAATTTTAAGGATCCAAGTATCTTCATACACACCAAACCCTAATTGGTTATAATTTTGACGTGCAAAACTATAATTGTCAAAACTGTTTGTCCAGGACTCAATATGTCAGGAACTATGCTAAACACTTTCCATGGATTCATCACTTATTTCTCACAGGACTCTATGATTTGGATTATCTTATTGTTCTTATTTTGCAGAGAGAGTAAATGAAGTAGAGGAAGGTAGAACAATTTGCTCAGGTCTTACTTCACACCCCCCACCCCAGCTCCCTTTGATAATGACAGAACTTGGAGTTGGATCTTGGGGCAGCCAGGCTCCTAAGATCTTCCTCTCAATCCCCACATTTTACTCACTCAGAAATACCTCTCTCTAATCCTTTTTCTCTGCACTATTTTTATCTTCTTTTCACCTGGCTTCTACACACAATCACTTACTGGTTTATCTTCTTCTTTCTTTCTCCTTTCCATCCATCTTAGGGTTTGAGAGAGTATATACAGAAAGTCCCCTTTTTCCCCACCAAGTTAGAAACGCAGTAAACAAGAAATATATCCACAAGTCAGATGGAGATGACTACATCAGCTTTGTTCCTAATAAAACCTAGAACGTAAAACAAGGCTTAGGCCTGGGGGCAATTAGGTTGACAATAATCTTCTAAATTGCATTTATGCTCAAAATTGCAGGGTAAATGGCGAGAGGCAGTCTTTCCTGATAATATCTTCCCAAAGCAGACATCAGATAAATATTGTCCCTTCTTGGCCAGGCGTGGTAATCACCCCTGTAATCCCAGCTCTTTTGGAGGCCGAGGCAGACAGATCACCTGAGGTCAGGAGTTCAAGACCAGCCTGGCCAAAATGGTGAAAACACGTCTTTACTAAAAATACACACACACACACACACACACACACAATTAGCTGGGTGTGGTGGTGCACACCTGTAGTCCAAGCTACTCAGGAGGTTAAGGTGGGAGGAACACTTGAACCGCAAGGTAGAGGTTGCAGTGAGCCAAGATCATGCCATTGCACTTCAGCATGGATAACTGAGCAAGACTCCATCTCAAAAAAAAAAAAAAAAAAAGCAGTGAAATTAGTTTTGCAAGGGCATACACATAAATACAAGGCAGTTTGTACTAAGTGCCAGATAAGAGACAAGAGGCAAGATGTGCTGTGTCTGGAGCAAGTAACCCCAGGGGCCTCTGTGATCAGGGAGCACTCCTTTGTGCTCAAATAATGGGTCTTTAAATCATGAGTGAAAGTTATTTTGGGCGAAGAGGAGGCCAGATGTCAGGTGCATTCTGATCTCTCATATGTGTCTCTCAGTGTCTCTTCATTTCTCTCTGTCTTTCTCTGACCCCTGTGTCTCTTTATCTCTCCACCTGTCTCTATATCTCTCTCCCCCTCTGTCTCCATTTTCTCTGTCTCTGTGTCTCTTTCTCTGTGTGTCTCTCTCTCCCTCTATATATCTCTCAACTTCTCTGTGTCACTCTCTGTCTCCCTCCAATCCTCTGACTTCCTTTCACTCTCTCTGTCTCTCTCTCTCTCTCTCTGCTTCTGTCCACCCCCCTCTCTGAATAGCCATCTTTCTCTGTACCTCTTTGTATCCCTCTCTATTGCTGTGTCTCTTTCTGCATCTCTGCTCTCATTTCTGTCCCTGTCTCTGAATCTCTTTTTATTTCTGTGTGTGTTCATGTGATTCCCTCCATCACCCTCTCTGTCTCTCTCCTCCTCTCTGTGTGATTCTCTGTCTGGTCTCTCTGTCTGGGTCATTTCCCATTTCTATATTTTGATCTCTGTCTCTCTGTGTCTCTTCACCTCCATCCCCCATCAGAGAGAAGGAACGCCTGTGGCAAAGGCTCCAGCATCTCTCTTCCATGGCCCCTCGGTGCTGTGTGGCCTGTAGCAAGATCTTTGGCCGATTGTCTCGGCGGTATCCATGCAGGTAAAGGGAAGGGCACAGAATCCTCCCTCTGGGACAGCCCAGTTTCTACCAGCTCACAACTCCCACTCACCCCAGGGAATGGAGAGACAAAGGAACTGGGTGTTTATAAAAGGCCACTTACAGCTGACTACTCATTCTACCACATCTGGCTTCCAACACTAAGCAGAGCCACGAAGGAGAAGAGCAGAAGGGTCAGATAAGGAGTGGGATCGGGGGGTCAAGATTGGGTCCCCCTCCAAGGGCCGACAGAAATGGGCCTCTCGTCTAGAAGGGAGTGTCTGAACAGTGGCAGCTGCTCCCTGTCCTTCCTCTGTGAGCACGGTGCTAGGACCGGCCTCAGGAGAGAGGGAAGTGAGCCACCAGGAGAAGCTGCCATGTGGAGGTGGAGGCTCTGGAGGGGTCGGGCATCAGGACACCCTTCAGGGAAGGGCATGCCTCCCAAGACAGACCAAGGACCATTCCGCTGAGAGATGAGAAATAAATGTCTCAGGTGGCCCTGAAGAGGCTGGAACTCCATGACCCCAGCGCCCACCTGGGGAAGTGCCATCTGCAGAAGCCACCCCAGTCTTCCTTGCCTCTGCCTTCCAGGCTCTGCGGAGGCCTGCTCTGCCATGCTTGCTCTGCAGATTACAAGAAGAGAGACCGCTGCTGCCCACCCTGCGCCCAGGGAGGAGAAGTCCAGGTCGCCTGACCAAGACCAAGACCAGCTCACGACCCGCCTCCCACCCTCCTTCCCACTCCACCCAGTCCACTCCCTGCCCCCAGCTCTTCCCAGCCCTCTTGTTTGTCCACTCCTAATTCTAGACACTGGAGATCTAAGGCACCTGCACTTCTGTGAGCAGAGAAGGGTGTGGGGGGTGGTTCCAGCCCTGCAGCTACCACAAGGAGCCAGGTGACTTTGGCAAAGCCCTCAGTGCTCAGGGCTTCTCTAACGTTAGGAGTCAGGCCCCACCCTCTCTAAAGTCCCTCTGGGCTCAGCACATCCGTGACTGTAGATGAGACCCCAGCAGCCCTGACGTTTCTCCTCCTCGCTCCCCACTCACCAAGGGGCAGTGCCCACCCTTCCTGATTCACAAGAAGTGATGCCCGCACTGTCTTGGGTTCTTCAGTAGCTTCCTGTCTGGAGTCAGCTTCAAGGATCTGTGTTTGTGTCATTGTTTTTCTTTTTATGTTTAACAGCTTCACTGAAGTACTATTGACATGTAATAAACATCACAGAGTGTACAATTTGATGAGTTTGGATTGTAATCAACACCAGTGAAACCATCTTCATAAACGTATCCATCCACCCCAAAGTTTCCTCGTGCCCCTCTGTGGCCTCCCTCCCTTCCCTTCTCTCCAGACCTAGGCAAATACAGATCTGCTCTCAGTCACCACAGGCTAATGTGCGTTTTCTGGCATTTATGTAAGTGAAATCATGCAGTACACCCTCTTCATTGCCTGCCTTCTTCTGCTCAGCCTAACGATGTCGAGATCTGTGCCTGCTGCTGCATATATCAACAACATATTTTATTGCTGAGTGGTATTCCACTGCATGCACATGCCTGCATTCACCTGTGGCCGGACATTTGAGCTGTTTCCAACTTCAGGCTATTACAAATAAGACTCCCATGAGCCTCTGCTGACCTATACTTGTTTCTCTTAGGTTTCTCCTGTGTAGACATACACGTATTTCTTTTAGGTAAATACCTAGGAATGACATGGGTGGGTCATTATGTTTAACTTTTAAGAAACTGCCAAACTATTGCCCAAAGAGGTGGTACACTGGCCCTTCCCACCAGCAGTGTGTGAGTTTCTGTTACCCCCACCCCATTCCCACCAGGACACCTGGGTTTGGAGGGCAGGGCAGAGGCTCAGGTACAGAACTTGGGCCCCTCTGTCCTTCCCTGCCAACCACCATAGTTCTTGATGGATCCCAAGCTGAGAGCATCTGGAGGGAGGGGCTGAGTCTAGGTGACTCTGTGCAGTGTTCATTGGCCAGACTTTGATAAGGACCACTGATGTGAACTATGCAGTACTGTGGCATGAGATCATATCCCCTGAACTGTTCAAGAAGACTTATGCAAGGTGTATGTCCTTCACTAGGCACCTGATTGTGGTGCTTCTGAGAACACTGTTTCGGAAGAAGTGCCGCCCACACTCTATGATAAGATGATTAGCTGCCCTACGCAGGTTCTAAGACACATTTTGTGGCCTAACAGGGATTCACACAGCTCTTATCTACTCTGCCTTGCAGGCACTGCCAGAGCCTCCACAGCAGTTGGGCAATCCCGCGGCTCTGACCAGAGCTCTGGACGGCTTTTTGGGGTTAGGCCGCCCAGATTGCATCCCATTACCTTCACATAGAGCAAGAGTTTTGCAACAGTGGTTTCTGCCCTGGAGAGCTGGTGAGAACTTCTGCTTAGCAAACACAATAACAGGGTGAGGGGAGAAAGCGGGGGGAGGGGGTTCCTAGAGCAATCAGGGCAATAGAATTGCCACTACCCTCAAGGGCAGCAGTCCCTTTCTGGAAATCAGGCTCACTCACTTATCTTTACTAGGGCAGAGTTCTTACTGTAGCAGAAGTCATATTCTAGCAGGAACTCCAGCACAAAGTTCAGACCTTCCTAATGAATTGATTGGGTGTTCTCGGGGTGGGGAGGGGGACAGCTGAGGCCCATTTCACAGAGCAAGGAGACTGCTCCGGGAAGAGAACTCTCATCAGATGGGAATCAGGGGCCAGGAATGGGGAAGCTGGACCTTCTCCCACTGTTTGGGGAAAAGAAGGGCAATGCTGAAGACCAACATCCAGCTCAACACTGCCCCTAATGAGTCTGCACCAAGTCCAGTGGAGAGCAAAAGAGCTCCAAAAAGAAATCAGAAAAGTTTGTTAGACTTTGGGGACTCTCAAGCAGAGAGATCCATGAAGACCACCAGAGACCTCCCAGAGCCTAGCACCGTAAGTTCACCCGTCCTTCCTCAGTGGTGACTCCAGGGTGCATGTCCAGCAACTGCAAAGCCCAGAGAAGCATGTGGGAGACACCCCCAACAGACTTCCCCAAGACCCCGAGGAGCTCATCACAGGGCTGAAGCATGAGCACATGGGCCCTGGGCCAGTGCCATCCAGGTGGTTGCTATTGATGTGACTTCATCTGTATTCACAGGCTGAGGATGCCCTGGGTAATTGGGGCAACATAATTACTTTTTTAAATTAAACGTCACTGGGATGCTCCAAAGTACATCAGTTTCCCCTACCTGTCAATTTATTCAGTGCTCAACAAAAATGTGTTAAGCATCTATGATATGATTGGTTTGGAGATACAAAGATAAAAATACATGTGAAATCACTGCTTTCGAGAACCTCAGCATGGGAGAAGCAGCAGCCAAATGGTTGATCAATTATAAACCCTTGGCTACACTTTCAAGGCAAAGGGAGAGTTGGCCAAACCGAAAGAGTGGAAAAGACCATCCCAGGGAAAAGGGAAACACACGCCAAGACTCCAGGGGAAACCAGAACAGCAACTTGGGGGTTGAGGGGACTGTAAGTGGTTCCCTGTGGCCAGAGTCAAGGGTTCTGTGTTCGGGGTGGGGGGAGCCTGAGGTGACAGGGTTGGAGAAGTAACAGGAGTGACATGGAGGGTGCCAAGTGACCAGCTCAGGAGTCTGACTTTACTTGAGTGTACCCAGGTTCCTTGATGAATTTTAAGATGAAAAGAAAGTGTACATATCCCCTGTACTGTTAGGAAGCTCGTTCTGGCAGTAGACTGGAGGGTGGATTGAAGGGGGAACTATTTGAGGCAGAGAACACTTAGGGGAGGAGGGGGAGGGAGAAAGGAGGAAGAAGAGGATGAGGAACAGCTGACAGAGCCAAGCAACGTTCTAAGTGTGTATCGATATAGACTCATTTAATCCACATAACAACCCCATGTAGGAGCTGCTCTCCCTATACCCACTTCACAGATAATGAAACTGAGACCCAGTTAGACCAAATCGCTTGACCAAAGTCCAGGGCCAGGTAGATGGATCCTAACTCACACAGCCCAGTCTAGAACCCACAACTATTACTTAACCATTGCCTTAGGTGAGGTGAGAAAGAATAAAGTGTTGCCTAACACTGTCAGTGAAGACGGTGAGGAGGAGACAGTCAGGAGTGATGTTAAGGAGGGGAAGAGTGAGGGGCAGGTACGTTTCTGGTTTGGCAGATGATTGAACAAGGAACCACTCCGGAGAAAGATGTGTCAGGAAAGACAACAAGATCCGTTTTCTACATGTTGAATTTGCAACATCTGTGGGCTCTCAGGGAGACTTCAGGAGGTAATTGCGTGTCATAGTTTGGAGTTAGGGGAGACATTGATTGGGAGCAGTAGGTATGGGAGACCCTGGCAAGTACTGGATGGCAGCTGAAGCCATGAAAACCAGTGGACTCACCAAGAAAGCAGGTAGAGTGAGAAGAGAAGAAAACAGAGGTAGAATCCTCAGGAACCTCAATATTTGAGGAATAAATTAAGAAATAGAGCAACAAGCTTTGCGCAGTGGCAGTATCGTAGCCAATGAGGTTTATCCGAGGTGCGATTATTGCTAATTGAAAACCTTTCCCGATACCCTGCCATGACGACTTGCAATACAGTCGGCCCTGGCAAATTTTGACAGTCTCCACGAAGACTGATTTGGAAAAAAAAAAAAAAAAAGAAATAGAGCAACAAACAAGACCAAGAGAGATCAAAGGAAATAGAGGAGAGTGGATCAGTGGGATTTAATGATATAGAGATTAAGTTAGACCTGGACAATAACTTTCCACCATAAATAAAGTTGAAAAGCATATAGCAGACAAGAAGAAAATGTCTTAACATAATTGACAAATATTCAAAACAATATGCCCAAATTATATAAAAAGCTCATATAAACCAATAACAAAATAACAATTCAAGACTGGGAGTGATGGCTCATGCCTGTAATCCTCAGCACTTTGGGAGGTCAAGGCGGGTGGCCAGGGGTTCGAGACCAGCCTGGCCAACATGGCGTGAAACCCCATCTCTATTAAAATTACAAAAATTAGCCAGGAGTGGTAGTGAACACCTGTAGTCCCAGCTACTCAGGAGGCTGAGGTATGAGAGTGGCTTGAACTTGGGAGGCAGAGGTTGCAGTCAGCCAAGGTAGCATTCCAGCCTGAGCACGTAATCCCAGCACTTTGAGAGGCAGAGGCAAGAGAAACGCTTGAGGCCAAAAAAAAAAATAACAAAATAACAATCCAAAGCAAAAGGGAAACAGATAAGAATAATTAATTCAGCTGGGCACAGTGTCTCACACCTGTAATCTCAGATATACAGGAGGCTAAGATGGCAGGATCACTCGAGGCAAGATATATACATATCTATGATACAGTAGAGATGTATTTTTTATTATGAAATGAAGGAAGGAAAACATGTTTGTATTTGCATAGGGAGAATTCTGGGAAAATGTACACACCAAGTTGTAGACAGTAGTTACCTGAGGAAAAGACATGGGTGAAAGAGGAATGGAAGGGAGACTTTCCAGCTGTGTTTCCGTGCTTTCGTATTGCTTGTATTCTTTACAATATGCATGCTTTATTTTTGTCGTATTAAAATGGTTTTGTGTGTTTGTGTATTTCTTTTATATTTCAATAGTTTTGGGGTACAGGCGGTTTTTTGTTACATGGATAAGTTCTTTAGAAGTGATTTCTGAGATTTTAATGCCCCGTCACCCAAGCAGTGTACATTACAACCAATATGTAATCTTTTATCCCTCCCTGCCCTCCCAACCTTCTTCCCTGCATCCCCAAAGTCTATTATAACATTCTTGGGTCTTTGCACCCTCATAGCTTAACTCCCACTTATAACTGAGAACATACGACATTTTGTTTTCCATTCCTGAGTTGCTTCACTTAGAATAATGGCCTCAGCTCCACCCAAGTTGCTGCAAAAGACATTATTTTGTTCCTTTTTATGGCTGAGTAGTATTGTATGGTGCATATAAACCATGTTTTCTTTATCCACTCATTGGCTGATGGGCATTTAGGTCAGTTCCATATTTTTGCAATTGTGAATTGTGCTGCTATAAACCTAGGTGTTCCTGTGTCTTTTTCATATAATGACTTCTTTTCCCTTGGGTAGATACCCAGTAGTGGGATTGCCGGATCGAATGGTAGTTCCACTTCAAGTCCTTTAAGGGATCTCCACACTGTTTTCCACAGTGGTTGTACTTTGCATTCTCACCATCAGTGTAAAAGTGGTCTCTTTTCACCACATCTACACCAACATCTATTTTTTTTTTTTTAACTTTTTAATTATGGTCATTCTTGCAGGAGTAGGGTGGCATCTCACTGCAGTTTTAATTTGCATTTCCCTGATGATTAGTGATGTTGAGTGTTTTTCTCATGCTTGTTGGCTGTTTGCATAACTTCTTTTTTTTTTTTTAGAGGGAGTTTCGCTCCTGTTACCCAGACTGGAGTGCAATGGCGCGATCTCGGCTCACCGCAACCTCCGCCTCCTGGGTTCAGGCAATTCTCCTGCCTCAGCCTCCTGAGTAGCTGGGATTACAGGCACGCACCACCATGCCCAGCTAATTTTTTGTAGTTTTAGTAGAGACGGGGTTTCACCGTGTTGACCAGGATGGTCTTGATCTCTTGACCTCGTGATCCACCCGCCTCGGCCTCCCAAAGTGCTGGGATTACAGGCGTGAGCCACCACGCCCGGCTGTTTGCATAACTTCTTTGGAGAAATGTTTATTCATGTCCTTTGCCCACATTTTGATGGGATTATTTGGTTTCTTCTTGCTGATTTATTTGAGTTCCTTGTAGATTCTAGATACTAGATTCTAGTCCTTTGTCAGATGCTTATTTTGCTGATTTGTTTTGAGTTCCTTGACTCTGGGTACTAGTCCTTTGTCGGATACATAGTTTGCAAATATATTCTCCCACTCTGTGGGTTGTCTGTTTACTATGTTGGTTATTTCTTTTGCTATGCAGGAGCCTTTTAGTTTAATTAGGTCCCATTTATTTATTTTTGTTTTTGTTGCATTTGCTTTCGGGATCTTAGTCATGAATTCTTTTCCTACGCCAATATCCAGAAGAGATTTTCCAAAGTTATCTTCTAGAATGTTTATGATTTCAGGTCTTAGATTTAAAGTATTTGATTCATCTTGAGTTGATTTTTGTATAAGGTGGGAGATGGGGATCCAGTTCCATTCTTCTACATGTGGTTTCCCAGAACCGTTTATTGAAATGTCCTTTACCCAATTTATGTTTTTGTTTGTTTTATCAAAGTTCAGATAGCTGTATTTGGTTTTATTTCTGGGTTCTCTATTCCATTCCCTTGGTCTACATGCCTATTTTTATACCAGTACCATGCTGTTTTGGTAATTATAGCCTTGTAGTATAATTTGTAGCCAGGTGATGTCTTCAGATTTGTTTTTTGCTTAGTTTTGCTTTGGCTTTGCAGCTCTTTTTTGGTTCATATGAATTTCAGGATTGTTTTTCTAGTTCTGTGAAGAAAGATGATGGTATTTTGATGGGAATGTCATTGAATCTGCAGATTGCTTTGGGCAGTATGGTCATTTTCACAATATTGATTTTTCCACCCATGAACATGGGATGTGTTTCCATTTGTTTGTGTCATCCATGATTTTTCAGTGGTGTTTAGTAGTTTTCTTTGTAGAGAGGTTACACCTCCTTGGTTAAGCATATCCCTAGGCATTTTATTTTATTTTTTGCAGCTGCTATGAAGCGATCGAGCTCTTGATTTGATTCTCAGCTTGGTCGTTGTTGTTAGATAGCAGTGCTACTGATTTGTGTACATTCATTTTGTAACCTGAGACTTTAGTGAATTCATTTATCAGATCTAGGAGCTTTCTGGATGAATCATTAGGGTTTTCTAGGTATACAATCATATCATCAGTGAACAGTGAAAGTTTGACTTCCTCTTTTCCAGTTTGGATGCCCTTTTATTTCTTTCTCTTGTCTGATTGCTCTGGCTGGGACTTCCAGTAGTATGTTGAATAAGGGTGATGAAAGTGGCCATCTTTGTCTTATTCTGGTTCTCAGGGGAATGCTTTCAACTTCTCCCCATTCGGCATGATGTTGGCTGTGGGTTTGTCATATATGGTTTATTACTTTGAGCTAAGTCCCTTCAATGCCTATTTTGTTGAAGGTGTTTGATTTTATTAAACGTTTTGTGTCTACTGAGATGATTATATGGTTTTCCTTTTTAATTCTATCTATGTGATGTATCGTATTTACTGACTTGTGTATGTTAAACCATCCCTGCATCCCTGGGATGAAACCCACTTGATCATGATGTATTATATTTTTGATGTGCTGCTGGATTCCATTAGCTAGTATTTTATTGAGGATTTTTATGTCTATGTTCATCAGGTTCTATGGTTTTCATTTTTTGTTATGTCCTTTCCTGGTTTTGTTATTAGGGTGACACCGGCTTCATAGAATGATTTAGGGTGGATTCCCTCTTCATCTTTTGGAATAGTTTCAGTAGGATTGGTACCAATTCTTCTTTGAGTATCTGGTAGAAATCATCTGTGAATCCATCTTGTCTTGGACTTTTTGGAGTTGGCAATTTTTTATTACTGATTCAATCTCACTGCTTATTATTGGTCTGATCAGGGTTTCTATTTTTCCCTGACTTAATCTAGGAGGATTGTATGTTTCCAAGAATCTAACCATTTCCTCCAGATTTTTCTAGTTTGTGCACATAAAGGCGTTCATAGTAGCCTTGAATGTTTTTTTGTATTTCTGTGTTATCAGTTGTAATATCTCCAGTTTCATTTCTAATTGAGCTTATCTGGATCTTCTCTCTTCTTTTCTTGATTAACCTCGCTAATGGTCTATCAATTCTGTTTACCTTTTCAAAGAACCAGCTTTTTGTTTCATTTATCTTTTATAATGTTTTTGTTTGTTTCCATTTCATTTGGTTCTTCTCTGATCTTCATTATTTCTTTTCTTCTGCTGGATGTAGGTTGAGTTTGTTCTTGTTTCTCCAGTTTCTTGAGGTGTGACATTAGGTTGTCAATTTGTTCTCGTGCAGGCTTTTTGATGTAAGCATTTAATGCTATGAACTTTCTCCTCTTAGCACTGCTTTTGCTGTATCCCAGGGGTTTTGATAAATTGTATCACTATTATCATTCATACCAAAGAATTTTTTAATTTCCATCTTGATTTCATTGCTAACCCAAAAATCTTTCAAGAGCAGATTATTTAATTCCCATGTATTTGTATAGTTTTGAGAGTTCCTTTTAGAGTTAATTTCCAGTTTTATTCCACTGTGGTGTGAGAAGATACTTGCTATTTTTATTTTCTTAAATTTATTGAGATTTGTTTTGTGGTCTATCATAAGTTCTGTCCTGGGGAATGTTCCATGTGCTGATAAGAAGTATGCATATTCTGCAGTTTTGGGGAAGAATGTCCTGTCAGAATCTGTTAAATCCACTTGTTCTAGGGTGTAGTTTAAGCCCATTGTTTCTTTGTTGGCTTTCTATCTTGATGATCTCTCTAGTGCTGTCAGTGGAGTACTGAAGTCCTCCACTATTATTGTGTTGCTGTCTATCTCATTTCTTAGGTCTGTTGGTAATTGTTTTATAAATCCGGGAGCTCCAGTGTTAGGTGGATATAAATTTAGAATTTATAATATCTTCTTGTTGGACTAATCATTTTATCATTATATAATGTCCTTCTTTGTTTTTGTTTTTGTTTTGTTTTTTACTGTTATTGCTCAAAAGTCTGTTTTGCCTGAAATAAGAATAGCTACGCCTGCTTGGTTTTAGTTTCCATTTGCGTGGAATATCTTTTTTCCCTTTACCTTGAGTTTATATGAATTCTTATGCAGGAAGTCAGGTTTTCATTAGCAACCAGGGTTAATTTCCACTAACCCTTTACTATAATTTTGATGAATACATAAGTTAAACATTAAAGAACTGGAGAAACTAGCGCCTGGGCGTATTAATCCATTCCTACACTGCTATAAAGAACTACCTGAGACTCGGTGATTTATAAAGAAAAGTTCTGATTGGTTTTTCTTTGTGATATATACCTCTCTGGAAATTTTTTCATTCATAACATGTTTTTTTTTTTAATTTCTTTATGTTGGTTTTTATTTTCTCTGATATCTCCTTAAGTGGCTTAATAATCAAACTTCTAGGCCAGGCATGGTGGCTCATTCCTATAATCCCAGCACTTTGGGAGGCCAAAGCAGGTGGAACGCCTGAGGCAAAGAGTTTGAGACAAGCCTGGTCAACCCCATCTCTACTAAAAATACAAAAATTGCCCAGGCGTGGTGGCACATGCCTGTAATCCCAGATACTCAGGAGGCTGAGGCAGAAGAATCACTTGAACCCGGGAGGTGGAGGTTGCAGTGAGCCGAGATCACACCATTACACTCTAGCCTGGGCAACAAGAGTGAAACTCCGTCTCAAAAAATAATAATTATAATAATAACCTTCCTTTCGAATTCTTTATCGGGTATTTCAAAAATTTATCTTGGTTTGGATTTATTGCTGGAGAGTTAGTGTGATCTTTCAGGGGTGTTACTGTGATAACCTACCCTTTGTTAGCCTAACTGACTTTTTCTTAGCTAAGAGCTGTACAGACTCCACGTTAGCTTCTTCGCTTGCCCACCCCCCCCCCC